CTGACAATACATGCACATCAAAACTCTTTCCTCCTAAACATCAGTAAATCAGTTTACCTGACAATACATGTACATCAAAACATTTTCCTCCTAAACATTAGCAAATCAGTTTACCTGACAATACATGCACATCAAAACTCTTTCCTCCTAAACATCAGTAAATCAGTTTACCTGACAATACATGCACATCAAAACATTTTCCTCCTAAACATTAGCAAATCAGTTTACCTGACAATACATGCACATCAAAACTCTTTCCTCCTAAACATCAGTAAATCAGTTTACCTGACAATACATGCACATCAAAACATTTTCCTCCTAAACATTAGCAAATCAGGTTACCTGACAATACATGCACATCAAAACTCTTTCCTCCTAAACATGAATAAATCAGTTTACTTGATAATACATGCACATCAAAACGTTTTCCTCCTAAACATCAGTTAATCCCTGAATATCTTCTGAAAAATTTTTGTATTATTTATATTTAAAGCCAAATTATTGACTGTAAAAAAGATATATTTAGTGACAAGCTAAAAACTTTCCTACAGATCTTTCTTTGTACTATTAAACAACTTATGGAAAATATAGGGTTCGAACTTTATCTTGTACCGCAAATGTTGATGTAGCAGTTCAAATCTGGTAGTTTTTCATTTTTAAAGGAACCATTTTCCAACAAGAAACAGAGTGTGATTTTGTTTACTCACCTGGGCTACTAGACCATGTGTAAATAAGTAAAACACCCCAAACTGTTGAAATAATAAAAATATTTAATCAGTTTCAAAAGCTACAAAACATCACAAACTTTCATTATTAATCATCAGATACTTTCACAATTGAAGAGTTATTTCTGATTTGAAAACCAGCAGCTTTAAAATGAAGATTACAACCCCCCCAGTAACATATGGAAAATAACTCTTACCATGCCAGTAACATTTTGTACATAAAACAATTGTTTTAAAGATGATTGTGTATTTCAGGGTTGACTAGCTGAAGGCTAGCTAGCTATACAATGACGAACATCAGTCTCTATATATATAAAAGAAAGTTTATTAAACATTTTTGGGTGACCGTGATTTGAGAAATTTGTAAGTATTTTTTGAGAACATGTAACTCACTCCTGAAGACACAGTCGTGACAGCAGTCAAGTACCTGAAAAGGAAAAATATAATCATTAAGTATCTTGGTTCCACTATAATGATTAATTAATAAGATGTTCTTAAACACTTAGTTATGATGTTTTGACAAGGTATGTGTTGAGACAAGATTATGATAAAAAGAATAAAATTAAAGTTGGCGTCGAGTCTTCTAAAAACTGGACTTTTGGAGTTTTAAATATTTTGGTCTCGGTGATGATATTTCATGAGAGATCTCTCCTACAGAGAGGTTATCCACCCTTTAACTCCAGTAACTCATAATGACTGGAATATCAGCTACCTCTAAACCTCCAGACAGCTGAATTTCATAATAAATTCAATACCAGTACTATGTAATTTGCCTAAAACTATTATTACTAAAAAGCATACAAGCTATAACATCACAAGAGTTGTTGAAACAAGTAATATGAAAATATAATACTTTAAAAAGGAATAACCAAGAATATTTTTGAAGATATTATTACAACTGAAGTAAATTATATTATTACACCAATATCTTTACCCTTAAATTAGGTCTTTTGGTTGTTTACAGAAAAAACAAAAGGCTAAGAATTTACTTTAATTAAATCTTTAGGCATCCTATTTTATTTAGCATCTTGTGATTTAAACTATATAGCATCCTGCTATAAACTTATGTAAAGGTTTTTTTTTTACTTTTAGTGAAACAAATGTTTTGTTCACCTATTTCAAAACAAACTGATTTAACATCATTATTAACCTTAGAATTATAAGCTTAGAAAACATTTTTGTAAACTGTTTCTGTGCCAAATTGCTTGTGGGTCTACGACTTCTTTTGGTTACAGGATCCTGAATAATGCCTTATTCACATAATAAAAAGTAAACAAAAATACCACCAATATTACAATTAATCCCACTGATTACTACTGGGGTCTCCTATGTATTTTACATAGAAAATAAGTGATTTCACCCAATATTTGTGGTCAGTTCTTTACACTGAGTGTTATAACAGGCAAAAATATAAAATTACTCAATACCATGAAATACATGGACATCATCAGAAGTGAATAGTATAGAAAAAAAAGACAATAACTTAAGGGTTAATTATCGTACTTACTAAATGTTAATTTCATGTCAAAAACTTCAAGATTAATATTTCAAAATTTATTAATTATATTTTAGCGACTCATGTTTTCATACACCACAAAGAACTTACCACAGAAGTTTCATGTATGGATGATCAACGTATCCAAACACTGGGGCAGCGAGTGTAAAAGCAACCAGAGAGAATTGAATTGCTGTGTTCACCTAAAAAAAGAGAATAAAACTTAGACTGATAGTTAATTAATACTAAAACAATTAGTATCTTGATAATTGAATAATTAGAGATGAAAATACACCAGTTAGTATCTTGATTTTTCAGAAAAATGTAAAATCTCAATAGCAAATTGAATTATTTTAAACTCTTTATTTAACTGTAAGATAGTATCACTTTGTTGTGGCATATTTTTACTTATCCAAATTATGTTGACCACTTGGCCAGAGGAGGCTATACACGGTATATATATATATTTCCAGGGTTGGAGAATTGTTATGTGCAATAAGTGCCAAAGGATGTAATCAGGACTCGAAGATTATACTGTAGAACCAACAGAAATATTCTCATTTTTGCCATCCCTAACTTAGATACAAGTTCTAATGTAATGATAATGAAATACATAGAGTTAATTTTAATTTACTGAGTATTAACATTAACACATCATGTTCCAGTTTAAAACCTGTTTGTTGGATAGCCAAATCAATGGAAATTTAAAAACAAAACAATCCATGCTACCTCTGATGCTTATGTCACATTCACTGAGACAGGTGTGTTTTTTTATCCACTGCTGTAGAGAAACTGTGAGGCAGAAGTATGTCACTGTACATCCACTTGATTCAATTACAATTATTAGATCATCAAGAAATTAATGTCGCCTTTTTTTTAGATGAAAAAAAAACAGAATAACTTATATATCAAAACAAAACATTTATTAAATGAAATATCTCCATTCTTATCGATGATGCTTTTCC